TCTGAATTTTCTTAGCTATGGGTCAACATTTTTACAGGTTCTTCTCAAGTCTGGGCATTTCTAACTACGTGGTGAACATGTTGGGTCACATGCAATAGGGACTTCATAGGTAAAGTAAGAGGCATTGAATTTTTTCAGTTTAATATTCTCTTAAATTTCTTATTATTGCTACTATTATTAGATAATCTGCAACAAGGTTTTGTTATGTAGTACAGACCAACCTTAAATTTTCCATGAAGCACAGGGTGGCCTTGATTATCCTGTCTCAGCTTCCTGAATATTGGTGATACAGTGTTACCTACCATACCTAGCTTGTTCAAGTGTTTATTTTCCATCTGTTATTTGGACTATAACTTCAAAGACCAGTAACACGTTAGTTTAAAAAATGCACAGTCTGAGGCAAAAAGTTCCAAATGATATTAAGACAGAGAAAATAAGAAAAACTACAATAGAAATGGAAGAAATGAACTCTGACCAGGAAGACTAATAGGCTTCCAGAGGAGGCAGTGGATGGGACAGGAACACTCTAGCTGCTAATTCCATCAGAGATATTTAAGCATTTGTTCTCGGATGCTTTAGCAGTTCATGGGAGAAGAAGTTAGAAGAAATGTTACTATTTTATAAAGTCTTCTACTTAAAGTGTGACTTGCAGACAAGCTGCACTGGGAAGTAACTGGTGTTTAACAGAAAGGCAGACTCTCAGGACTCACACTAGACATACTCATCCAAAAGACCGTTTCAATAAGACCTACAGCTATTTCAGAATGCTGATAAGTAGGTACTTAAGTCTTTACTGGAATTAGCAATTTGTGATCTCTCACTCTAGGCTCCCAAGAAATTATGCGCGCTGTAGAAGAGGATACATCATACAGACAACTGAGTGTCTAAATACTAGATTATTTTTTCTCTTATGATTGTTAATGAACTTTTGCATTAGTTTTTTCCATCCTGCGGATAAGGGATTTGAAGGTAAATATGGTTAAATCAGTGGTCTAAGATCACAAAGCAGTAGAACATGAATTTGAGCTTTATATAGCTGATTCTGATCCCTGAAACATTCTTTTCACTATATCACTCTGCCTATCTCTCACCTGTGACTCTAGAGAAGCAAGTAGTACTTATAGATTTATCACTCACTTGTTCAGTGGCCTGGGCTACTTCATTTTATCTTTGTGGAACTTAGCTTTCATCTTTAAGTTGGTCAAACTAGTAAATGTTCACCAATGACTGAATATTGGGAGCCTCTCTTGTGGGTGGTGACTCAGGAAAACAGCAGCAGAGTGCATGGTATACAGAAGAGTACAGAGGTAAGTCACCCATATTGACTGTCTATCAGTGTTTTACTAGTTCAAGTGAGATAAAAATATTTCTACACATAAGAATTGTTATATTAATACTTCGTTTGAATGCATGTGCCTTAATTACTATTTGGGGGTTTTTTGTTTTGTTTTTTTCTGTTTTAGGGGTTTTTATTTGTTTGTTTCTTTTTTGCTGTGGAGAGACACCATGGCCAAGGTAATTCTTACAAAAGAAAGAAATTGACTGGGGACTTGCTTACAGTTTTAGAGGGTTAGTCCATGACCATCATGGTGGGAAGCAGATGGGCATTATGCTGCAACACTAGCTGAGAGCTTTACATCCTGATTCACAGGCAGCAGGCAAAGAAAGAGACTGGACCTTTTGAAAACTAAAAACCCACCCCAAATGACATACCTCCTCCAACAAAGCTATACCTCCTTTTTTTAAATTTCTTTTTTTAATTTAAATTAGAAACAAGCTTGCTTCACATATCAATCCCAGCTCCCCTCCCTCCCCTCCTCCCCTGCCCCACCAATCCCCTACTCCATCCCCCCTCTGCTCCCAAGGGGGGGGGTGAGGCCCTCCATGGGGGATCTCCAAAGTCTGTCATATCATCCAGGGCAGAGCCTAGGCTGAGAGAGTGGAATAGGCTCCCCAAGTTCATTCATACTCCAGAAAGTCACACCTCTTAATCCTTCCTAAACAGTTCCACTAACTGGGAACCAGACATTCAAGCATATGAGCCTGTGGGGACCATTCTCATCCAAACCACTACAGTATATATGTGTGCACAGGTGCAGGTGAGCATGCGCCACAGAACATGTATGGAGGTCAGAGAACAACTCTTGGAAGTTGGTTCTCCCCTGACGCCTTGTGGGATCTGGGATTGAAATCAGGTCATTAGACCTGTGTGTAAGTAACTCTACCTACTAAAATATCTTGCTGGTCCTTTGCCTTAAAAACAGGCATTATACATTACTAAATTAATTTGGAAACATGAGTTGTAATCTGGATATGGTTGCAATTGAGAACTTATTTTGGCAAAGCTCTGTGCTTATTTCTTCTAACAATGAGAACAAAGCTAATAAAAATAAGTATAGGATCTGCACCTAGAATGTGTCCTAGAATGTTCTAAGATGATGGATACATTTTCTGTCCCTGCTGCCTAGTCATAACCATATGCCACACAAGAATAATGGGCACTTGAAGTATAGCTGACTGTAACTACATCTGGAATCACCATGGCAATATGCCTCTTATGTTGTCTATGAGGGTGTTTCTAGAAAGGTTAACCTAAAGAGGGAAGACTCAATTTGTGTGTGTGAGGAACTATTCCATGGGATGTGGTCCTGGAGTGAATGAAAGGAGAGAGCAGGCTAAGCATGAGTATTTATGACTGCATCCTAATTTGGATGCAGTAAAACCAGCTGCTACATGCTCTTGTCTCTGTGAGCCAGAACAGACCTTCCTCCCATAAGTTGCTTCTTACCAGGTAGGAGAAAAGTAATTAATTGAATTTAGTTAACTTTAGGTTACATGGACATGGCTGAATGGTAGCTGTTATAAGGAACACCACAACCCTAGAGCTGAGAGACAAGGAGTTGCTCAGCAGTATTCAGGTTTTTTAGCTAGCAAGAAATCAAGGCCAGCCTGGTCTACAGAACTAGTTCCAGGAAAACCAAGGCTACACAGAAAAACCCTGGCTTGGGTGAAAAATCACTAAGGAGCAAAGATTTTAATGTTAGACCAGAAGGTTTGGGCCAAGTTCAGGGAAAAGCATGGCAACACCACAGTTTATTTATTTACAAGTTGATATAGTCATGCACCTACTCTTCACCCCATTGACATTCACTAGCTACTTATGTGGCAAATGGTAATCCGATACAGAGCAGAATAATTATGACACAATTTCTTTTCTCAAGGAAGTCACAATCTGGTAGAAGGAACAAGCAACAATAAGGCATAGTACTAATAATAGTTCATACCTACTCCAAGAACAGAATTAAGCAAGTGATGATTATGCTCAGAGGTATAGAAATGGTTTTAAGGAGTAAACCATCTGTGCCCGTTCTGAAGAATCTTTACCTTGCCAGGTTGAAGTTAGAAGCTTTCCAGGCCAATATGGTAATATGTATGTAATCATGTAATCACATATGTAATCACAACACCCAGAAGGCTGGGGTAGGAAGATCATGAATTAGAGACTAGTAGAGACTACATAGTAAGACCTACACAATGGAGTACTATTCAGCAGAAAAAAATAATGGAATCATGAGATTTGCAGGCAAATGGATGACACTAGAAGAAACCATCCTGAGTGAGGTAACCCAGTCACAAAAAGAGAAACATGGCATGTACTCTCTCATATATGGATTTTAGACATAGATCTGGGGAGTGCCAGCCTACAATCCTATGGCCAGAGAGTCTGGGAAACAGAAACTTCATTTAGTGGCTGATCGAAGAAGAGGCAGACTCCCTTGGTTAAGTACTGAGCTGAACTCAAGAAAGCCAGTAACAGAGAGGGAGGACTGATGATCAAAGGGATTAAGACTGGGCTGGTTTAACCCCCAGAAACAGCTGACCAGACAAAGGTTAACTCTTGAATCCCAGGCATCAGCCTGGGAATCCAGCATGGGACTGATCAAGACCCCCTGAATCTGGGTGTCAGTGAGGAGGCCTAGGGAATCTATTGAGCCTTGGGCAGCAGATCAGTACCCATCCCAAGTATACACACGGACTTTGGACTCCCATAGAACAATGTGAGGTGCACTCTCACCCTGAACTCTTGGGGAAGGGTCTAGGCCCTGCCCTATATGAAATGACAGACTATGGACACCCCCATGGAGGGCCTCACCCTCCCTGGGGGAATGAGGGGATAAGGGGGGGTTGGGGGGAGGGCACGGGAAGAGGGGAGGGAATGGGAGAGGGACCTGGAACTGACTTGTGAAGCAACCTTGTTTCTTATCTAAATTTAAACTGGAAAATAAAATGTAAAAAAAAAATAATACAAAAAAAAAAGACCCTGGTTGCACTTGCCTATAATCCTAGCACTTGGGAGGCAGAGGCAGGTGGGGGTTTAGTGTATATAGTAAATTTGGTGAGTGCATTCTAGAGTATCAGTAAGAAAAGTTGAAATAAACCTAAAGGTTGGGGTATAGTGCTAAGTCATTGAGACTATACTGATGACATTTGGATGGGAAGTCTGGGAAAGTATTAGCAGGATGCAGATGACCAGAGGGTCCCAAAAAGAAAGGAAGGAGATCAGTTTTTAGCCCTTTCATTGATCAGGGAAGAAAAATCATAAGGAACTGAGTTGGAGTGGAATGCATAAAAATCAGTATGGATAACGCCTCTATTCTGGTTTCCCAAGACTGGAGAGTCAAGGCAGAAATGGACTAGAAGGAAGGTGACGAGTCCATTCTGGAATATGTTTGTAGTTACTGCAGGAAACCTGTGATGCTCTGCCACTGCTTCAGAGTCTTCCTGGACTGCCATATTTTTTTTATAGCCAAACCAAACTAACTTAACTTTTTAAATTGACAGATACTGCCGGGTGGTGGTGGCACACGCCTTTAGTCCCAGCACTCGGGAGGCAGAGGCAGGCGGATCTCTGTGAATTCGAGGCCGGGCTGGACCGATAGCCTCCAAAACAATACAGAGAAACCCTGTCTCGTAAAAACAAAACAAAAAAAAATGACAGATAACCATTGTGTTATTTTATTGTGTATAATGGTGGTTACCCTGCTTCTGTAAGTTATTTGGATTCCATTCGAGTGAGATCATGCAGTATGTGTCTTTCTGTCTTCCTTCCTCTGGCATGAGCAGCGTGTAGGTCCTTAAATTGGCCAAGTTGGGTTAGACATCTTTGACCTCAAACTGGAATGCCTTTTACTTTATCTTGCCACTCTTCTTTCCAAACTCACTCGGATGTGATGTCTGTGGAAAAGCCTTCCTGACACTTCATCCCACCACCAGACAGATTCAGACTTGACTGTAGAGATTTGCAGGGATGGCACCTCCTGTGATTTCCAAGCACACAGCAGGTAGCATCCCTGTAACCATTGTGGCTGGCCTAGACAGGAAAGAGAACATCAGCAAGTGTTTGTCAAATGAATAAATCAAATGAGGATATCTGGCAGAGGGTTGGAAATTCAAAAACAATAATAAAATTAAAAGCACCAAAGACAAATGGGAACACACTCTGTACCTGCCATCGATTCTTCTGCCTCAGCTCTGCTGTTCATCTATCCTGGGCCCATAGTTTCTGGCCTGGTAATGTGTTTAGAATTGACTGGAATGGGAGAAAGAACACAGAAACCTAGGGAGGACAGCTGGTAAATATTTGGGGAATGAAACAGTACTCCTAGCAACCAGTGGCCAGAGTTAAGGGGAACCTGGCCAGCACACCTGGTTCCTTTCAGCTTTCTAAGCTTCTGGGAGCTATTTTCTACCACCACCTGGTGGCCATATCTATAACAAGTTCCCATCAAGTGAGCTAAGGGAAAGCAGATGATCACCAGTGGCCCCCAGTTCAAATGACACCCATGGGAATGTACAGGTCTGAGTGTGTACTGCACATTATTGTAATAATAGCTCCCAGAGCTTGTTACTAGGTCTCTATAGCTAACTCTGGTCTACAAAAGACTGAGATTTACTGCTGAAGGGGTTGATCCCTTTTTCTGCACCACCCCCCAAATGGAATCTCTGAAGGATCAATATAGAGATAGAAGAGCATGGCTCCCTGTTGCTCAAACCTCACCTTCCAGGTTACCAAAATACTTATGTGGAACCCAGGCTCTTGTGAACTGAAAGGCTTGTAGAGCCTCTGATCCAGGTGGACTCTCAGACATCATACTAGGTCACATCTGGGAGAACATCATGATGATGTCACAGGATGTGTCAGTAGCAACGCTAGGACCTAACATAAGTTGCCTTCTTAACAATTATTTTCTTTAATGCCTGCCTTATTTCCCACAACCATCATTTAAAATAATAAAAAATAATACCTCTTTCTATTCTAAATATAGTTCTCAAGTAGAACTCCTTTTACCTACATATCTTTAGATATCGGGAATGAACCAGATTCCTCTCAACAAACTATGATTCCTGGTTGAAAATAAGCCTACAACTTAAATTTAAATTAATTCTGTAAAATGCAAGCATCAGTGCCCATGATATGACTTCACTTTAAAGAGAAAAAAACTAAAACTCAGAGGGTAAATGACTTGCTTTCTCCCACAACTTGCCACTGTCTCAGCTTTTGTACTCATATGTGTCTGTGTATTTCAAACAGTGAACAGATCGGCAGCACCACTACTGGTTTAGTTATATCTGTGGGCTCCAGGAATGACCCTGTTCCCTGCTAATGACAGCCATGAGAGTAAGGAGGGTCACAAAGGTTAACATTGCTAGAACATACACATGCTAGATACACTAGAGTTGGCCTCCTACACAATCTTCAAAGTATGGTTTTAATCGCTGTTTTGGAGATGCCAAAAGTAGAAATCTCAAGATCACGTGTTAATGTGGTAGGAACTAGATAACCCTCAAGTCTGTCTGATTCCTCAGGTTCCCACACCAACTGGCTGCTTTGAACATCCTCTATCCTCACTGCACCCTTTCTCTTCTCTCTTTTAGGAGTGCCAGCTTCTCTCAGGGCACCCGGCAGAAGAGTGATACAGCCGTGCAAAAACTTGCCCAGGGCAATGGACACTGTATCAACGGAGTCAGCGGTCAAGTCCATGGCTTCTATAGCCTTCCCAAGCCAAGCCGACACAACACAGAATTCAAAGACAGTACTTATGACCTCCCCCGTAGCCTGGCTTCACACAGTCACACCAAGGGTAGCCTCACAGGGTCTGAGACAGATAATGAGGATGTGTATACCTTCAAGACACCTAGCAACACCCTGTGTCGGGAGTTTGGAGACCTCCTAGTGGACAATATGGATGTTCCAACCACCCCTCTCTCAGCATACCAGATCCCTAGAACATTCACACTGGACAAGAACCACAATGCCATGACAGTGGCCACTCCTGGAGACTCAGCCATAGCTCCCCCTCCTCGACCTCCCAAGCCAAGTCAAGCAGAAACACCTCGGTGGGGAAGCCCTCAACAAAGACCTCCAGTCAGTGAAAATAGCAGATCTGTAGCTGCTACTATCCCCAGGCGCAATACCCTCCCTGCAATGGACAACAGTCGACTCCACCGAGGTCAGTGCAATCCCTAGCTGAGACCAGAGGGCCAGGGAGGTGGCCCAGGCATTCTCAGTATATTGCTATCCCTTGGTCACCCCTAGGCTAGGGCAAACCTACTCAATTCAGTGATACAAGTTAAGGCTTCATCTATCAGTCCCCAGCTATCAGCATGACACCCACTGTGGCAGAATGTCACAGACTGCTTTGGAAATGTTATTTTGGTTTTGGAGGTTCAAACTAAAGCCAAAGATGTAAAAACAACTTTAGAAGATTGGCAATTTTTTTGAGCCAAACCTATATAGACTCAAAGTAAATAATACAAAATTTTCTTCAGGATACTTCTAAGTCATGGCAAAATCTCTGGTTGTAGTCTGAACTTTGGCTTGAAGTCCCTACGTTCTAGCCTCACTTGTCACAGATGAATTTTAGTTCTGCATATACCCTCTGTTCAGTGATCTCTCTTTAGAGCTCACACATCCTTTCATCCCCTGCTATGACAGCAGCACCGATGAGCCTTCAGCCTCTGAGGTCAGGCCTCCAGTTTAGTCAGTCAGTCTATCTGAGCAGTCACCCTGGGCTTTGGAACTGTACAACACATACACAACATGCCTCTGCCTTTCAAAACGCAGTTATTGCTAGGAAAAGAAAACCAACAAAAGTAATTAGTCTAAGTGCCATTACTAAAGTATTCCCAGAAATGAGAAAGGGCCTAGTGAGAGGTATTAGAAGAACCTAGGGCTGAAGTTGGGAAGCCTTCTGCAGGTAGCCACTCTGGAACATACCTGAGACTTAAGCAAAGCTTGTGATCAAGACGGGTGAGTAGCAGGCAACACTTTGTCCCTCAAAGACACAGAAGTACCTTTGGGAAAATCAGGAGAATGGCCACACTAGACAGGGACAGGGAGAGTCAACATGGGGAGCAGTATGAGTATAAACCACCTTCCTTCCTTCATCACAGCTTCTTCCTGTGAGACCTACGAGTACCCAACCCGAGGCGGAGAGAGTGCCAGCTGGTCTGCTGAATCTGTGAGTGAGAGTGTTAGTCCTTTCCTGGGGGGTGGGATTTGATCAGGGCCCCTTGGGTCAGTCATGGTGGAGAAAAAGCCACACCCAATGTAACTAAAAGCACAGCACCTGAAGAATGATGGCATTTCCCTCAGGATCTGCCTACTTGTCCCTGTCTAGCACCCTAAGGAAGTGTTTTTGGCAAGTGAAAAAGGTACCCTCATCTGGTCCTGAGACAGACTGGAATACAATGCAGCAGGCACACTCTAAGTAGAGGGTCTTCTAAGGCAACAGCCCTGCAATCGAGGTGTCATAGCAAATAGGAACGCAGAAGTGATGAGAGATGACAGCTTACATGAGGACCCCAGGCTGCCTCTGGAAAGGGTTGACCACAGTTGTCCAGATTGAAAGCAAGCTGATCAGGGCTTAGGTACAGGCCCATTGGAAAGACAATGAAGATCAGTGCAGGCAGATGTGCTGTGTTGTGTGGTATGCTGAGAGTTGGAGAATGGCTGAAGTTAGGGCTGCTCTGCTGTTCATACAGTCTCAGTGCTGGACAGGGGAAGTGTAGCTGGCAAACCTCACCTTCCAGAGCCCTGGCCAGGGTCTAGAGTGGCTTACCAGTGGTGAATCCTGAGCTGTTTCTGATCTGGACTGCCTTCTGCCTTAGCCAGGCATCCGGACCCTGAATACTCCTAGCCACAAGCCGTAGACTTGAGTCTTATCACAAATTATAGATGGCTCTCAAGGGGTCATGAAACAAGTTTCAGAGCCTATTTCTCCTCGATTTCCACTACAGTTCCTTATTTGGTCTTCCCAAGGTCTCCTTTGTAGCTTCAACGTGTAGCTAACCAACCAACTGGGACAGCTCAGCTTGTAGAGTCTCACCTTAATTCTTTTCACTAGTTACAAATAGGTCTTTTGCTTTTTTTTTTAGCCAGGGAAGACTATCGTGGGTCGATCAAACAGTGCCAGCTCTGATGACAACTATGTGCCCATGAACCCAGGTTCTTCTACCCTGCTGGCTATGGAACGAGCAGGGGAAAATTCCCAAAGTGTCTACATCCCCATGAGCCCAGGGCCCCATCACTTTGACCCACTAGGCTACCCATCCACAGCCCTTCCTATTCATAGAGGCCCCAGCCGAGGAAGTGAGATCCAGCCACCCCCGGTCAATCGTAACCTCAAGCCTGATCGGAAAGGTAAGCCTACTCTTTCCCCCCTTTCTGTCTCTGGAAAGCATTTGCTTAGAGATTCTGTGTATACTGGACTTAGGGGTGCGTAATTGTGCAAATGATGCAAATGCAGACTTCAGATTTGCTTAAAAGGGAAGCATCTAGTACTCATGTAGTCTACCACAGAGGTGCAGTAGTAGTAGATCCATGACCTGCATCAAGAGCAGGAAATGTCCAAACTGGATTTCTGCTGGCCTTAGCTGAGAAACAGGGATCCAAAGAGAAGAGTAGGGAAGTTGGGCAGAGATATAGCCCATGGGTCTGGCCAACTAGGACTCTGAACTTGTGAAGTTGAGGCTTGCAGGGTCCTGTACCATTAACTTTTTTCACTGTGATTTTCAGGACACTGTTTAATTTTATAAGAAACTGTTAGGCCATGAGTCCCGTTTTTTCATTTGGAAGTCGGATTACTAATGTGATGACATGGACTTGAATATCTGGCATGTTGTATCTATGGGAGTCCTGAAACCAGGTCACCTGTATATAACTGATGGCCTTTGTAAATGTGCTTAGCATGTGTCTGTGTAGTTTAGTCACTGATTCCTGAATTCTGTTCCTACTGTAGCAAAGCCAACACCCCTTGACCTGAGAAACAATGCCGTCATCGATGAGCTCCCTTTCAAGTCACCTGTCACCAAGTCTTGGTCCAGGGTCAAGTGAGTGTCTGTAGAAGCAGGATCTTGGGGGTTAGGATGCCAGGATTTTTTTTTACAACCCAATCCCAGTTTCCCTTCCCTCCTCACCTCTGGAAAGCAAATTTTCTTTGGGAGGGTGGGGGGTTCAAGACAGGGTTTCTCTGTGTACCCTTGGCTATCCTGGAACTCACTCTGTAGACCAGGCTGGCCTCAGGCTCACAGAGATCCACCTGCCTCCCAAGTGCTGGGATTAAAGGCATGTGCCACCACCTGACACCAGGATTTTGATGCTAATGTTACATCAGGGGCTCTGTTGGGTTCCTGGTCTTCGTTACACAACATGTGGTGTAAACAATTCAAGAGGATAGATTTATTTTGGTTCTCGGTTTCAATCTGTGCTCATTTGAGGCCTGTGGCAAGGCAGAAACATCATAGTAAGGAGGAGGGCATGAGAGCCAGAAAGCAAAAGGCATGCCTGTCCCGGCTGTTCCTTCTGTTCCACACAGCCCCAGCCTACACACATTTACGGTGGGTCTTCCCAGATGCCAACCATCTTCTGTTTTATTAATCTGTCTTCATCTCGTTGGAATTGTTTTCTTCATCTGTGAAGGAGAAATGATTTAAAATTTCCCTATATTAGATCTCAGTCTGATAACAGAAGCGTGAAGCTCTGACGGCCCAGGTCTGGGGTATAAGAACTGTATCTCCTCAGGGTTCATTCTGTTCTTTGTCCAACAGCCACGCCTTTAACTCCAGCTCCTCCCAGTACTGCCGTCCCATCTCCACACAAAGCATCACCAGCACAGACTCGGGAGACAGCGAGGAGAATTATGTCCCTATGGTGAGTCCTCACTCATTCACTGGCCCGCCTCCCAGTTCTGCCACCTTGCAATGGCTGAAGTTAGCCTCCTAATCAGACCCTTCCTGGGCAGATGAATGTTACCCACCATTAGAAAGACACAGCTTTGTCCCTAATGTCTGTCTCTTAAAGACCCTTGGTGGCCTGTCTCTCTCACTACTGTAATTCAGGTGGCATGGTTGGTACCCTTGGAGAGACATGCAGATATATAACTCCTGTGGTGGTGGCAGTAGTGGACACATACACAGCATGCTATGGTTCCTCTCTGAGGTCACTGAAAAGGACATGGTTGCAAGGCTGCCAAGATCCAGGGAACAGATCAATCATTAAAATGAACTACCGCTTCTTACTACAATTAGACCTTGGCACCTTTAAGACAAACTGCTCTCGGGCCTGGAGAGAAGCCTCAGAGGTTAAGAACACTGGCTGCTCTTCCAGAGGTCATGAGTTCAATTCCCAGCAACCACATGGTGGCTCACAACCATCTATAGTGACATCTGGTGCCCTTTTCTGGCATGCAGGCAAATATTGTAGGTAGAACATAATAATAATATTTTTAAAAATGAAAGAAAGAAACTGCTCTCTTAAAGCTGAAGACAGGGCCCTAGAACCTTTCACATGGAGAATGGCTGAAGAAATGAAGAAATGAAGACCTGTCACCCAGAAACAAGGGGACTTGTTCGGGTCCCTGTGGAAAAGCTGCTTATGCCCAGATGTGATAGGAAACTCTGAAGTGTGGGAGAAAGTTGCTCACCAGGGACCTGCAAACTGAGGCTGGGCCTTCTAGGAGAGAGACAGTGTCCTGGGAAGAGCTCCCTAAATTGAGGCAGACAGGTACATGAGTGGTCAGAAAATACCCCCTGGGGGCTGGAGAGACGGCTCAGTGGTTAAAAGCACTGCTCTTCCAGAGGTCCTGGGTTCAATTCCTAGCACTCACATGGCAGCTCATAACTGTAACTCCAATTCCAGGGGATCTGATACCCACATATACATACACGCAGGCAAAACATCAATGCACACACACAAAAAAATCATCTTTAAAAGTCCCTGGCTCTTATCACATACCAGGTGACTCACTGTCCTTCCTAAACCTCGGTGTTTCAGCCTTTAGTGAATTAAACAGTGAACTGCAATAAAGCCTTACATGAGAATATGAAAAGTCACAGTGCATGGCTCAGTGCATGACATAGAGGAGCTCTTGCTCTGATAAGTGTCACCTTGAAAACCTTGGGGCTGTTTAACTTACCCAGTTTTACTCTTTATCATAGCAAAACCCAGTGTCTGCATCCCCTGTCCCCAGTGGCACCAACAGCCCAGCTCCGAAGAAGAGTACTGGCAGTGTGGATTACCTAGCCCTGGACTTCCAGCCGGGTTCCCCGAGCCCTCACCGCAAGGTACCTAGAGGTTGGGGATTAGGAGACCCATTCCAGAGACATTTTATGACTCATTGCACTTTAATTGGCGTTGTAGGGCACCAATCCCCTCAGTCTATTGACTTTCATCCGTCTACCTATCTCTTTTCCATGGGATACACCCACAGGGATTGCTCAGGATGACAAAGGGCTTCAGTTAACAATTCAAGACACGGAGATCCTGTCTCCATACCCTTTAAAAAAAAGTCTGGATGGGGCCAAGAGCCCTGATGGAGAAAACACTGTATCCCTTGGAAGAATTTCAGGGCCTGGGAGAGCCTCAATAAGGACTACTCTCAGCCCAGGCAGCAAGGAGGTCTACCTGAACAGTTTCCCTCAGCATGTTTTGAGAGCTTATTGTCATATAGCACATCCATTTTCCTGGAAGTGTGGCCAAAGGAAGATAGGTGGAGTCATCTGGCCTGAACCAGTAGCAGGGCCCAGGCATAGTGGGCTTATCCTGGAAGCTAGGAAGCACACGCCAGCAGGCTGTGGCCTCCAACACAGGATTTCACTTTGAAGTCCACATTCAGCACAGACAAGACCTTGAGGCCATTCAAAGTGATAGCCTTGTAGGTAATTCATAGTCATTCCTTTTGTCCCCTCAGCCATCCACATCATCTGTCACGTCGGATGAGAAGGTAGATTATGTCCAAGTGGATAAAGAGAAGACCCAGGCCCTGCAGAACACCATGCAGGAGTGGACAGATGTGCGGCAGTCCTCAGAACCTTCCAAGGGTGCCAAGCTGTGATAAAGGGGGGCACCAAGTTCAAGGGCCATGAGCAGCTGCTCAGAGCTGGCTCTTTGTCACCTCCTTCTCCATCCCTCCCCACATCTCCTCTCCTCTGTACCACGTTCAGCCTTTAAAGCACTCAACATCAGGGACCCTGACCCTTACCCCTTGGAGGCAAGGGCCTGACAGATATTTCCTCTGCCACTTGGGGTCTACCTGTGACATCTCAATACTAGCTGTGCCTCCACCACCCTTGTTAGGAGCTGTTGCCAAAAAAAAAAAAAAAAAAAAAAAAACCCTCCTGCTTTGGACCCACTTGTCTGCTGCTTGGACTCTTAGAGGGAGGGCTGAGGCTCTGAGCCAGGCCCATGCCTCCTGTCTGCTCACTGCTCTCGACCCTCTACCTCAGGGCTGCTTCTCCATTCCCAGAGTAATCGATAACCCAGGGAGCCGAGGATCAGCAGACTAAAGTAGACATGGGCTTTCACCTCCCTGCTGTTTTTGGCAAAGGAAAGGCAGCTGCCACGAGAAGAGAAGGTTGATAATGAAGGTCAGAAGTCTCTTTGAGTGACAAAGAAATTGGGTTCCCAGGCACAGAAGGGTAGCTAATCGCCTGCAGGGTGGTACCCAATTATCAGGCCATGGTGCACTGGTGTAGACTGGGAGAGGCAAGGGATGAAGGACAGCAGGAAGGAAAAGTGATGACAAGCGACTGGGAACAAAGAACAGGGCTTGGAGTAACAAACCCTGGAGCTAGAGGGCTCAGCCACTCTGGGACAGGAAGTGTTCTTTCCTGGCCCAGACAGACATAAGAGAGTGAGAAAGAGTAGGGGTGATGCAGGAGCTGGGATGCGGGAGGGCCCTGGGACAGGAGTGTGCTAGGCACCAGGGACACTGGCAGTGATGGCACAGAAAGCAGGTTACTAGGAAGTAGGAGGGTGCAGAGATGACTTAGGGGCTGGGAGGCTGGCCACGCAGCAGGTGGGGAGGTATCCAGAGGGCCTGATAGAGAGCCCAAGGCCACTGCAGGAGGGAGAATGGGAAGGAGCCATACTTGATAAAATCTAGGGAATACATGAAGATCTGGGTAATGGCTTGTGCCAGATAGAGGCAGTGACTAAGTGCCAGGCCAGGTCTTTTTCTCAGCTCTCCTCTAAGGTGTCCTCAGCTACGGGATGGTAGACTATCCCTCTCCTCCCGTGGGGTCAGAGGGATGAGAAGTAGACATCATTTAAGGCTCCTACGATATGGCAGAGAGTGCTGAACGTGTTTGTGTGGAAGGTGGTTGGCCAAATCTTCAAACATTTCATAGAAAATGGAACAAACCAGCATTTCATTTTGTTTTAGAAGATCAGACCATTATCCTCTAAATCTAGGACCTTTTGGCACTAGAGGCACACCTCTCCTGTCTCCTCTAAAGAGCCCTAACGAGCAGTTCCTCAGTAATAGCCCTTCTCACACGAGGATGGATTATTTAGTAATGGCTGCCAAGCCCTGTGCTATGGATGAATCCTACCTTGTGAGGTCACAACCAGTGAGAAAAGTAAAAGATAGACTACTTACTCCCAAGTACAGAAGGAGGGAAGGTGCTAAGAGAGACTGGGCCACAGCAAGGGGAGGCCTCATGAAAAAGCAGAATGAGTTATGCAGAAAAGGCAGGCAGACAGGGCTGGCTCCCCAGAGGGGACAGGATGAGGGAATCCTCAGCTCTGAGAACAGAAGGTGTTTGAAGGCGGGACGGCAGCCTCGGAAGTGTGTGCTATCACTTTGAGTGAAATGGCGCTGTGGTTGGTGGCACTGAACAAGGTTACAGGGTACTTGGCTGGCTTTGCCCATGCTCATGGCACCCTTTAAGACCCTTCAGTGGGGCTCCCACATAGCTAAGCTTTTGACTGGAGCTGGAGCTCATAGCAGGTCCAGGTATCATTGGCGCCAGCAGCCACCCGAGTGCATGTTCTGAGTTGATAGTGCCATGTGGGTGGACCTGGCTGCCACTTGCCGAGACCGAGGTGTTCAAGTCTAGTTAGTCCTGCTCTGGTTCCAACCTTTGGAAAGCTGAGCTCTGACTCGATATGCCCAGTCTCCTAGCACTATGTCTAATGTACCTACCAACCCATCCTCCAAACCCTGAATAGGAAAAGCCAATTCCATTTTAAAAAAATAAAGTCCTTTGACCAACCTATGGGTCAAAATTCAGCTCCCCTGGTGGCTGTCAAGGATTGTGACCCAAGAACACTCATCATCTCTTAGCTGGCATAGCTCCCACAAGAACCTGTCCTGCAGGGACACTTCCAGCTCCACCCTGCAAGGTTAAAGTTGAGTAGGAACAGTGAAGAAAGGACATGGCATCTCCTTGAGACTTGCCAATCTGTGAAATGGGATGGTCCCAGCTGATGCTGTGTTGCTGTGAGGAGACCCTGAAGGATCCTTTGAAGGTCTGGGTCACAGGGGAGGCGCAGCACACAGAACATTAGCTAGTTAACTCCATCCCTCCCTCTCTGTATTTTGCTGATAGCTATAGTTGACACCATGAAAATCAGTCCCCATCCCATAACAGAAGGACAACCATTCTCAAGTTACTGGAATGTGGGTTTGGGTCTAGTCTGCCTTTGGGCCATCTGTCTTCTATAGTCCCAGCCATGGCTCCCTCCCTCCCTACAACAGAGTTTTACAGGCTATGAGGGGAAGTAGCTCTTCCTTTCCATTTAGGACTTTGGCTGTAAATTGTGGGGAAGCAGTTTAACCTCAGAGGGCCATCTTTCTGGAACTTGCCATATTCGGGGCCTGGGCCCAGCAGGAGCAGCCAGACTTGACAGGGGCGCCTAAGTGGTGATTTGTGCTGTCATGGTATCTGGTGGTATGTGTTCTTGTGTAATCTGTTGGCTACTTGTGTCTTGAAACTTAGAATCATTTCACACAGGATTGTCACTATTTGTTGAAAAGAGAAAATGAAGTAGAAGCAGCCTAGTCTTATATTCATGTCTTGTTGCCATTTAAGATTGACATTTAATTTTTCAAATCATTGTTGGTGCCTAATCACTTAAGTTATTAATTTATTCTGTTTTCAAAGAAATTTGTAACATGTATTTATCTTGTGAGGTCTGGGGGTGGGGCGGGAAATGTGTTCAAGTGAGTTATGTTTTTGTAGTGGTGACAAATGGTACAGGCCTGGAGCTTGAGGTCCCTTTTTATTATGGTGTAGAAGCAGGACAATAAAGTCCTTTAGAAATGCAACCCAGAGTGGGCTGCTGGAGATGGTCTTTAGGGGTGTGGAAACTTGCGCTCGTCCCATCCTGGGCAGCCTTGGGACTGATGCTGTCAAACAACCACACCACCTCTGACAAACTCCTTTCAGGGTCATTTTATGAATAAGCCCAGGAGCTGCTATGCTGAATTCTGCTCCACCCTGATGGGCTGTAACTGGGCACCTTTCCAGGTCTGGAAGAGGAATGAACCCTCTTCTAGGACCAGCATCTGGCATGAGTGGTGGTGCACACCTATAATTCCAGCACTCCAGACGCTGAAGCGGGAGCAGGACAGAGTTTCCCTGACAGCTCCAGAGTCTGGCATTTGGAACAAAACATCTACCACAGCCCTGAAACCCCTTGTCACGACACCATTACAACCTCCCAGCCGCTTCCCTCTTAAGAGGATGAGTAAGCATGGAAGGAAGGGATTTGGGGGTGTAGGCCAGTCTCAGACTCTCCCTGCATTCTCACAACCACCCATGTCCCCCTTTGGCTTCAAGATTGAGACCTATAACCTGAAGAAAGAAACGGATATTAGGACTGGAGAGACGGCTCAGCCATTTGGTTCCCAACACCACTTTTGGTGGCTCACAACAGCACCTCCAGTCCAGGGGATCTGGTGCCCTCTGCTGGCCTCCTCACATACATGGTACATAGACACTTGAAGACACATTCATACAATAAAAATAAATAAATCTTTTTAAAAAGAGCTAAATGTTGACTCTGGAATGTTGGAGAACTGCTTCCAGGTTGTCCCAGCCCACACACCTTGTCTATCCAGGAACAGGCTATGACCCCTTCTCAGAGGAGGGAAAGAAGAAGGCGGTGGTGGCACATGTTTCAAGACAGCTCACAGTTCTTGGAATCTGAAGTCATTGTTGGGTTTCTGTGTTCACTTGACAAACCAGTCTGCTCCAAGGTATCTCATGAAGCACCCCCAGCCACACCCTTGCTCTCTGCCGCAGGAGGCTGCCAGCTCTGGACCCTCCAAGGCCTACCACCAAGCACCTCCAGGACAGGGGTACATCCTCATCTTACCTACCAGGAGCCACTGCGTAGTCACAAGTGACCATCCCAGAGGATAGCAGACACCACAGCTCAAGCTGTAAGAAGAGCATCCTGCACAGGCTTCAGGGAAGCGAGTTTTATTCCTATTTAAGAACACGAGTTCCTTCTCTCCACTGAGAAGGGCTACAGTAGTCTCGGGGCACAATGAGGTTGTGTGCATTACACAGTTCATACCCACCCAGCCCTCACACTCTAGCAGAGGAGCCAAGCCAGCTAGTTTCCTCAAATGACAATGGCTTTCTGACAGACTAGTGTCTTCAGTAAATAAGGACTCTGGATGCAAGGGCATCATCGCAGGCACTGAGGCAGGCTGGGGAGGGAAGGTCTCCCGGTGTGACTTGCTTGGGGGAGGGGAGGGGAGGGGAAGATTCTTCCCTCTGAGCTGTGCTATGCTGCCTTCCACTACATGCCTCAGAAACACAGAGGGTGAAGGCACCCACATACCTTGTTTTAGGACCCCCCTGAAGACATAAGAGGTCAGGCAGGGGGAACACAGTCAGTCCCCTTCTTAGTGCAAAGACTTGACTTCAGCTGTGCTTTTTCTCCTATGGAGGAAGAGCTGGGTGAAGGAGCTAGAATAAAAGGAAGTGCTACTGGATGCAGGACACCAAACTGATGCCACCCTGGCTCCTGAGCTGCCTGGGCTTCCCAGGGTTGGGCCTGCAGGGAGGCAAAGCCCCGAGTGGGCTCATCTAAGCTGCTCCCAGTTAGTCAGGACACTTGACCGAAACATCCCATAGCATCTTAACAGGATGGCTGCCTAAGGAGCTCTGGGTTCCAGCTTCTCTGCCCTTCAAGCTGTAGTCTGACATCCCAGATGGTCCCTCTCCATCCTCCTTGTCCTCAAAAGGACCTGCTTCACCTTGGGCTCGCCTCCACAGCTTCCTAAGACCCCAGATGGCAGAGCACTCTGCCTGGGCCCTGAGCCCCACCTGGCCCACTGAGGTTGCCTGTGACACCCCACAGGTGTAAGTTCCCATTAGAAGACCAGTCTGTGGAAGTCACCATTGCCACTTGCAGGGTTGCAGCCCCCTGGAGAGCCTTCATCTTCATCTTTGTCTTCATCGAAGCCCCTGCCCCAGTGTGGAGGGGCAGGGAGTGTGGAGATATAAGCTGCCCTACTCCGGGCCTCCTTCTCCTGCTCCTGGAAATGAAGACAGGAAGTGGGCTTAGCACAACCCTGCCAGCATCTCCGGACCCCCCCCACACACACACACTGGCTCCCACTGAGAAGCAGGTCTAAGTTCCAAACAACACTTTCCTCCCAGTGATCACTCAAGTCCCTTGGAAGAACTTGTTCATACTAGATGACTAGCTGACAAGTGCCAGGGACCTCAGCTGTCCACTCACTCACTGCCTCTCTTGGGGTATGAGGTCCATCTTCTGCCCATGAGCAAGTTCTTCCCTGCTAAACTAAGGTCAGCCTCTGTCAGACTTCACCACGTCTCCACTGCGGGTCCGACAAATGTAGAGGCAGACTGGTGTCCCATGCCCTCACGCCCCTCACAGGAAACGACAACTCTAGGTGCAGGACCCACAGAGCCCTGGTGTGGCCACCCATGGCTATTTTCTTAACTCTGACAAGGAAGCCTGAGGCGGTGACAAAGCAGGACACTGGGATATGAAGACCACTGAAAAAGTGACCCCGTTAAGGGTACCAGAAGCAGTCCCTGCCCATTAATTCAACCCTCTCCCCCTTTCAGCATCATCAATTTGTGCTATTATTCAGCATCCATTCCTCTGAGGTTAAAGGGTGTGCCTGGCCAGCCACCAACATATCCCCACTAAGTGCTGAATGTGTGGATGCATTTAAAACTGAGGGTGACTCAAAAGAACATAACTGGCCTATGTGGGTGTCTTGCTGGGCTAAGTCCTCACCCAAGAATGGAATCGGGTGCCAGAGGGTCTCTACTGACCCTCAGCAGGGGACTCACCTGCAGGTAGAGGACATTGTCTTTGGAAATGGCCTCCATCAGGTCCTTGTGGAGGGTGGGCTCTGCTCGGACTCTGGGAGAGCCAGGCTCAGCCTCGGACCCCTCCCTGGGCCGCTGGCGGTAGAAGAGCACATAGGCAGTGTCCTTAGGGAAAAAGGAGGTGACATTGCTGACAGACTCAAAGGATGAGAAGGATACCCGGGTGTCATTGAACAGGTACCATTGGTTCTCAGGCTCAGGCCTGTCCGTGGATCCCAGGACAGGGGTCGGCCGGGCAGCACCCTCACGGGCGTAGCAGTAATAGTGACCACTTTCTGAGGACACGCCAGAGTGCACCACCACACTACAGAGGTCATAGGCCTGGCCCTGACCCCCAGCCAGTGGCAGGCGCAGCAAGAGGGGGATGGTGACATCGTCCAGGATCTTGCGACGCCGCATGGTACGCAGGTCGAAGGAGAAGCGCAGTAGTGTAAGGATGAGGTAACGTGGACCCTGGCTCAGCTCCACCACCTTCTCTGCGTCCTGCAGAGAGGCGCATGACTCACAGTAGTAGCGGTTCTCAGCTGTCAGCCTCTCAGGGGACAGGAAGTAGTTGACCAGGTCTAGTACAGAGCGGGAACCCTCAGGGCCACACACCTGCTCCCTGGGCGGGATGGCAGTATCCCTGTGGGTCCCTGGCCCCAAACTGTCCCCCTCCTTCTCCTTGCCATTCTCGGCTTCCTTTTCCTTTTCGTCTTCCTTCTCTTTCTCCTTCTCTTCCCCCTCCTCTTTCTCCTCTTCTCTTGCTCCTTCCTCCTCCTGCTGCTCCTCCTCTGCTGCCTCCTCCTCCTTCCCGGCCTGTTCCCTCTCCGCCTTCTCCTCCTGCCCACTCTGTCCACCAGTACCTATGATGCCCCGGCCTTCTATGTCTAGCCCAGTGCAGGGGGCATGCCCCGTAATGCAGTGCTTCCTCTGCCTCTGAGTCCCTGGTGCTCTGGGAGCCAGGGCTAGCTCCTGGGCTCGCATATCCTCTGTTGGGAGCATCACCGCACCCAGGCGGCGGTGACGACATCGCTCCGGAGGAGGAAAGGCCAGAGAGAGATCTGTGAAGGCCTCCTCCCTAGAGGAAACATTGAGGCAGTGGAGACAGCATATCCGAGTCACAATCTTGCCTCCAAACATTTTCTCCACAGATGTTGCATTGGAACTAGGGAGTTCTTCCAGTGGGGAGGGCAAGCTGGACTGCTTGAGCTTCTGACAGATCCTCGTCCCAGTTTTTTCCTCTTCATGAAGCCTAGAACAAGCAGGGAGACCAGGTGGACACAAGGACAAACAGGTCCACCACCACCACACTCCCCACCATACTTCAGACACTTGTAAGAGCCTAGCAAGATGATCCCCACCCCGTACAAAGTGGCATGCTAACATACTTGTGTGTTGACACACTCACCTGGCACAAGCCTACATGAACATGGACCCTAGAGCTGTGTGCTGGGTTGGCACCCTCGGGCAGTACAGTGACATGCACACACTGACAGACCCCTCCCGGGCTTCACCAACTTCAGCATCTTTGCACACCTATGGTATACACCTTCCTCTACCTTCCAGAAGGGCAAGGAAGTGTTCCTACTTCCAAAAAGATCCAACCCAGCTCAGAAGGACAAGCTGTCACCCCACAACATTCGCGGGATCCACACCTCCCTAACCACCAGCCTTTCTTACCGATCCAGTAGGTACTTCAGATACTCTGAACAGTCCTGCTGGGTCCCAGGGCTGAACCAAGGAGTCCAGGACGCAGAGAGAAAGTTCTCAGGAGAGATGGCTGGCCTCTAGGACAAGACAGGTAAAAGGTGGGGTCAGGAGATCAAGCCACACACATAGCAGGCAGCAAACTATGCCCGAGGATCTAAGACTGTGTTCCAAACATGTCAGCCTCCTAACCTACAACCTTCCCCTTCCAAGCTGGCTCTGACCCACATTCCATCAGGCAAGTCCATGCGGCCCA